AAAGGGTCTCTGTGGGCAGTGCTTTTACTGGAAGCTTGTCTTCTCTAGCACTGCTGTTAGAATAATCTAACTAAACAGAAGCAGGAAACCAACATTCCAGGTTTGAAAATGAAACTCTCAGAAAGTAGTATTTAACTTCACAAATATGTCCATCCATAACCCACACTTTTTTTTTAATATTTTTTGATCTGCTGGTCGTCGTATTTCCAAAGTGTAGTATAATTGTTGTAGGTGTACAAGTCTCTTTATGTTCCTGTCTGTTAAGGCATATACTGATAGTTGTTTTGTTATTAGTACTAAAGAACTTGTTCCTTTTTTTTCCAGACCAAAATAAAATCTAAATTTTCCTCTAGTTTCCATGCACATTAGTACTTTTGTTGGGGTTTTTTGCTTTAAGAAAGAAAACAGCACTTCTTGGCACTTCTGAATTCCTAATAATTTTGTTAAAACAGGCTAATGTAAATTTCTACTTACTAAAATTGTCCATCTTGGAGCAGTGTAAGACTTCTGTGTAGAAATAATACAGAAGTTGTACCAAGCAGAAACCATTCAGAATTATGTCGGTTCATACAGATATTTCCAGACAAGTATGAAACTTTCATACATATTTCTAGAATTTAGGTAAACTTGAAGCAAAAATGACGCATGTATGCAGATTTTTTTTTTTTTAATTCAGGCAGGTTTTGAAACTTGGATGAAAATTCTTTGCTTTGTAGGTGAACTTTAAAGAGTTACATGCTTCAGTTTTTTTCTAAAATTTCTTAAATCTTTAAACTTCTGTTTTTCTCTGTTGCAAAAGTTTCCTTTATGTAGCATTTATCTGTATTTAGTTGAGATATTTGAGAAATGCAAATTAGATGTTGTTACATGGAACTTTTGAACCAATGCACTCAATCAGTTGTTTTGTGTAGGTTTTAGACATTCAGAAGTTACTTTATGACCCAAAATGCAGCCCAGTGCACCTTTGCCTGAGTATCTAGAAAGGCAGAGGCTCAGTGGTCCACATTTATAGTGATATTCTGCAGCTTTGGCAGCATTTAAATTACAAATATGAAGTACTTATTATCTGGCTTTTTATTCATTAAAGAACAATTAAAAAGCCTAAAGGCATTCTTTTTTCTTTAGGTACTACAAAAGTAAGTCAGTGAATACTAATTTCTTTTTAAACAGAAAAATGTGAAATTGTTGAACTTTGGGGAGGAAAATTATGTGTATTTTAGGTGCCTCTCCTCCTCACTGAAGTAGTGCATCTTGCTTGAGGAGGTTGTACAAAGCCCACTGTGTGGGAAGTTACCCTTAAGGCATAAAGATATGCCTCCAATATGTCTCTGAAATGTTTACAGCTGCAGCCACACCGGTGCAGTTCTGTACTTGGATGTACAACAGTGCGAGTCTTTGCAAGCATACATGCAAGTTAGTCACTGCAGCCTTAGCTGCTAACGTACAGTAAGCATGTCACTGAGTTTGTAAGAGACCAGTTACTCTTCACTATGTCCCTGTATAGGAACTTAAAGGGAGCTGCGCTCTTCACTGTAGCTCGAGCTAAGAATAGAGAGGGGTTTTGTGTTACCTCACTTGATGAACCAGTTTTAATGCCTCAGGCTAAGAACTTAAGTTTTCTGCATACTAAATGAGCAGGGGAATGTAGAAGGAGATCAAGTTTTCACCTCTGGACATCATAGAAGGTATGCTACTTTTTTTCTGAATAATATATAAAATGGGGGTTGTTGGCAGTGGACAGTGACAATAATCCGTCACGTACCCCAGTGGGAATGTGGTGTGGAATATCTTACTGTTCTGTAAAATCACATTGGCTTACTTGGAACTGCATTCTCTGTAAGTGCTTTCATGGATGGACCTCAGAAAGGGTACCTCTTGTGGAAGGCTTGGTAAACTCTGTTCTACCTTCTTAGCTGTGTACCCTCACTTGTAAGTCTCCACCTTTTTTATTTGCGTAAATAATTTATCTGAGTCCGTGTCAAAAGTCTTTGGAA